ATTTATCCCCAGCAGAAAGCATTGTCAGAATACTGGACTACATTAAAGCAAAAAAATATTAATATGTCATCAAAAAAGGAACTCAAATCAGGGCAAGAAGTTAGCAGTAATGTGCTAGCTGAGATAGAAGACATTGTTGAAAGTATCAAAAAAGATTTTGGAGAAGAATCAGTTATTCTACTGGGAGAAAATGAAAAAAAACCCCGAGAGGTGATTTCCACTGGCAGTTATTTGCTAGACCAGGCCATTGGGGCAGGTGGTTATCCGTGCGGGAGAATTGTGGAGATATACGGCTTAAAATCTAGCGGCAAAAGCACTTTAGCATTACAAGCGGTTAGCGAATGTCAAAAATTAGGCAAAAAGGCGGCTTACTTTGATTTAGAAAACAGCCTAGACATTAAACACGCTAAAAGTGTTGGTGTGAAAATTAAAGAATTAATTAATCCTTATCCGAGTTCAGGAGAAGAAGTTTTTGACATGATGATTAAATTGATTCACAAAAATGTTGATTTGATTATCGTGGACTCCGTTTCTAATTTGGTTCCTCTCGTTCAGTTAGAAGCCAATTTAGGTAAGCAGAGAGTTGGTTCTCATGCCGCTTTAATGTCAGCCGGTTTAAGGAAACTTAAACCAGAATTAGTTAACAAAAAAACTATTGTCATTTTCATTAATCAAATACGCAAAAATATCGCTATTAACCCTTATGCTCCCTCCGAGACCAAGACTGGTGGAATGGCTCTTGATTTTGACGCTGATTTGCAGATTAAATTAAAAAAAAAGGAAGATCTCAAAAAAAATGACAAAATTATTGGTATTGAGACTGAAGCCAAAATAGTAAAAAATAAAATGGCTCCTCACGGAGAAGTGGCCAGTCTAGAAATCATTTTCCCTCATGGCGTAAAAAAAGAACGAGAAATTATCGATTTAGCCACAGAATTAAGTATTATTCACAAAAGCGGAACTTGATACTCTTATCAGGACAAAAGATTAGGTCAAGGCAAAGAAAACGCGGTTGATTATTTGTTAGAAAATCCGGAATTGTACCAGGAAGTCGAGAAAAATGTTCTGAAGCAATTAGTAGATAATAAATTATCTTAATATTTAAATTAAAAATGTTAACCCCCAAAACCCTAAAAAAATTACAAGAAGAACAAAAAAAATTGGACGAGTTCATTGTTCAAAAAAATAATATTACTGATAATTTTAAAACCGGAAAAAGTTTTATCCGGACTAAAATTGCTCTCTTAGTTGAGATTGGCGAATTAGCCAATGAATTAAAAACTTTTAAACATTGAAAAAAACAGAAAGAAGTTGATTGACAAAAGGCTCAAGAAGAATTGATTGATTGTCTACATTTTTATTTGAGTTGGATCAATGCTTTTCAAATAGATTTTGCGGATTATAATTTTAAAAAATTCGCCCTTGAACCTGATTATAATGAATTATTGCTGGCTCTATTTTCGGAGACTGAAGCGTTTAGTATTAATGTTCCTTGAAAGATTCACGGGCCAAAAATGCTTGCCGCCAATGAAAAAATTTGAGAAAAAGAAATAAGCGAATTAAATCCCAAGGATAAGGACTACCAAAAAATTTTAGCAAACTACAAAAAAGCAAAAGAAAAACAACAAGAAATAATTGCCAAAATGAGTAATAATTTTTTGGAAGAAATTAAAATAGAAAAAAATAAAGCCAGTTTCTACCGCTGATTAATAATTTTCGAAGAATTGGCCCAAAAATTGGGTCTCAAAAACGAAAAAGATATCATGGACGCCTACCTGGCGAAAAACCGGATTAATTGAGAAAGACAACAAAAAAATTACTAAAAAAATATTAATATGAAATATGGAAAATAATTGAGAAGTCATCAAACAAAAAAAAATCGAACACTTAGAAAAAGAATTAACCATTTTTGTTGGCAAATTAGAGAAAATCCGCAGTAATCAAATCTCCTTGGAACTCTTAAAAGGATTAATAATAAGTTATGGTAAAGGAAAAAAGCCTTTAAAAGAGATAGCCAGTTTGCGAATTTCCCCCAATAATGAATTAGTAGTACGAAGTTTTGAGCCAGGGCTTACCTCGTTGATTAGCAAAACAATTTTAGATAAAAAGCTGGGGTATAAAGTTGAAAGAATCACCAAAGAAGAAGTTTATTTTACTCTCACCTCCATTGCTACCGAAGACAAAGAAAAATTGATTAAAGAAGTTAAATTAATTACTGAAGGAGGGAAAAAGGAATTTCGTATTATCCACCAAGAAATAAAAAATTGGTTAAAAAAAGCCTCCGGTCTCTCCCAAGACCAGAAAAAGAATTATGAAAAGCAGAGTGATGAGTTGGTTAAGGATTACCAA